AAAAGCTGGGGCAAAAGAAAGAGATTTAAGTAATTAAGAAAGAATAAAAAATATTAAATTTTCTCAAAATCCACTTGAAATACCTTAACGGGCAGCTTCTAATAACTAACAAAAGAAAGTAGCGAAATTTAAGTATTTAAGAAGGAATATAAATGATCAAATTGTTTCAAAATTCACTTGAAATACCTTCGATTCGAAAGGTAGCTTCTGAATCCGAGTAAAAATGCAGTTTTTTTTTTAAATTTGAAATAGTAGATTTTCTTACAAACTGTTTAAATCTCTTTTCAACATTTGATTTTTTTTAATTTAGATTTTTTAGCTTTCGGCTTGCATCTAAATTAGCGATTGTAATGAGAAATAAGTATTTCTTATTGGACGAACTGCTAGGGCGTTTTAATTGCGTGTAAATAGCAACAAAGTACATCACTTTCCTTGGTTTCTGTACTCTGCATCCCCATTGTATTGCCAACTCCATGTCTCCTTGACCATGTTACTGGTCCTGTCTTCCTTTGCCCTTGGAAATATATATACATTTTTTTTGCATTTAAGGTTTTCTCCTCTTTGTGGCTGGTTTTGTTTTTTCCCTTTTTTTGCTGCAACTTTGAAAGTTAATTTTTTTCTACATATTGCGGCAATTCTTGACGCAAATTACAACTGTTGCACTTTTTCTGTTATGTGCTTCCTTTTTTTTTGTTATTTTTGTCGCGCTGCACTTTTTTCTGGTCTCTTCTGTTTGCCGTCCTGATGGTTTTGATGTTGTTGTTGCTGCTGATGGTTTTTTTTTGTTTGACAAGCCCCCACGTACGTACAACATGTTCGTTTCGGTCGCAGAGGAAAAAGGCAAGTTGGAGCGGAATGGCTTTTGCTGCAAAATTAAAAATGATATGAAATCAACAACAACAACAGCAATACCAGCAGCAGCATCGAAACAACAGCTTCGAAATGCTCACTACATCATAGACAGTGGACCAGCTAGCTGCAGTGGCAATATGGTAGTTGGTAGATGAATGGCCGAAAGCAAATACACACACACACACACACATCAAAGGGGGAAACACAAAAGGGAATGAAGGATAAAGAGTCGACGTGTCAAAGTTGCAGCACGACAAAGCATTGTGAAGCGCACTCTTTTAGCCATTGACGAGTTGAAGTTAGTCAGTCAAGGGATCTGAACTGGAAACGGAAAAGGAAAGAGACTGAGACTTCAGTTGAAGCATTAATTAATTACATATACTCGTACTCATAGTAGTCAAAGGGAGCTCCGGACTCATTCATTGACAATTTGTACAAACAATACACTGAACGCATAAATTCATAAATAGCCCAATTGGACCAACGAACAAGTTTCTTATATGTCCAGTGATTACTATAGACTCTGTCTCTAATTTTCGAGCACGATGATTCTTATTCTTCATAGAAACTTAAATGGATAAACACGAGCCAAGAAGTTATCTATTCCACAAATATCTTTTTATTTATAAGAAAGCAATTCCAAATTATTCTGCACTTCGTTAACATTTTTTCAACATGCAATTAAGTTTCATTATCTTTACCAACAAGAAATGTTTCCTGCAAAATCATGTGGTAGTTGACCCTTATATGGATCATTTATAATCGGTCTCGACAAATTGTCTGTATCCATCTGAATGTCTGACTCCTAATGACTATTCCTATTCACTGAAATGAAAAGGAATCCTACATCTCGAAAAATATACGATCGGTTTTCCCCAAAAGCTATAAAGTACAAATCAAATATGCTTATTCAGCTAAGATCTTAACATATTGTAGCTAAGCAGATCTTGATATAACACTTCTAACAATTGCAAAGTACCATTTTTTTTTACATAAATGCAATAAGGTTAATTGTTGTAGTTGTATATTGAATATTGAGTACACCTAGGAAGAAATTTCCATTGCATGGATATTGGAACAAGTTACGACCAGCGGTTGTTGAAAACCACAAGACAACAATTGTCGCAATGCAAACTCTTTAAAATATAAGAAACTGCTCATTTAATCGAAAATGCAGGATTCGAAAACATATAAATCGTTTAACCATAGGGAAACTAGAAGAAGGATTCGCATATGGCAGCAGGTTTGAGTCGTAAATTCAGATCCGCACATCGAAAAACCATTTCAGTTAATGAGAGAGAGGAAACAAGAATTGCATAAATTACGGAAATTATGGGAAAAACAGGAATTTCGGGGGAGTGGGGGAAACCTCAAACTCGTCCTTTCTCGGACTTAGGAGAATCTGGATACCAAGTAGAAGGCCCACAAACAAGAAAAATGTCTAACATGAAAACTGCTTATAATTAGATTACATTTTATTTTTTTTTAGGCTGCTTTAATATTTTGTTTACCTTTAGAAATGTTTTGCTTTTTAATAAGACCAATCTGTCACTGATACATAAAAGCACAACGCTTTGGACCTTAAATGCAACGCAAATTTGAAAAGAAAAAATTGTTTGTGCATTTTTCAAAATCTAGGAATCATTTAAATACTTGTGGTGAGACAACTCAATAAAGTTTCAAAGTTGTTGGGATCGGAAAATGCCACTTCTGGAGCATCCCATGCTTGACGCGACACACCATGACCTTGCCACGCCCCTCCACTCCCCTCCGCTACCCAGCAACTGTGGCAAACTTAAACTGAAACATAACCGCGACCGCAACGCGACAATAAAAAGCGCAACTTTTGCAAAAAAATAGTGCACATGCTGACAGTAATAATAGCGAACAGCTGGTGGGTGAAAAAGCTGTAGGATACATACTCGTACATATATACATACATATACTATATATGAATTTACATTGTTATTGACATATAAATGTTGGCGTGTTTTATGCGCATTTTTTCACTAGCCGTGTTTCGACTGCATGTTTTGCGGAAACACTTTATTATGACAACCAATGGGGCAAGCAAAGAAGGTGGAATGATTAAGGGCATTCAGTACTTGTTGCGGGTCTCTCATTCTTTTTGTCTTTTTAATCGCGATATTTCAATTCTAACTTGATGTAAATGTTTTTAATTAAAAAGCGTTGTTAGCTTTTTGCATATCCATTGCACATGTACACGCACATGTTCACATATCTATAAAATGTCGTCGATTTGACTGCAGAGTTCAACACAGTTCCCCTCCCTCCCCTATCCCTGTGTGTGGTTTCTGCATTGCCCTTACAATTGCAGCAGCAGAAGAAGAAAACAGGGAATGGATCAGCTTTTGCTGCTCTTTTTTGAGTTGCTAATAAGTATATTTTATATAGATACAAAAATTTGTTTGATTAGTTTCTTAACCTGAAACATGTCCAAAACTTTCTTTTATTTGCAAACCCAAATAAACTGAAATTTCCCAAACTGATAGGAAATAGAACTCTTCCTTTTACTCTTATTCCCTATTATAAGTATAGTATATACTTTTATAAGTATATATACAGAGTCATGGTTTGGGAATATTTCGACTCTCTTATGTTCTTGCTATGAATAGACATATGAAAAATATACATACTTGCGAGCTGAATTTATTAAAAACCCTAGTAAATTCGCGGAACGACTATTTCAAAAATTACCCAAATAACAAAGAATTACGATAAACACTTTGGAGTATACCAATAATGATTGTTAAACGCACTCAACCTAAGAAGCTGGTCTGATTATTTTCTGCAGGGAAATCTGTTATCTTGTAGATTGTAGATTCCTTTACTACAAACAGTGGCACCTCATTTTTCCAAGTTGATCGATGGTTGGAGATTCTGTTCTGGAGATTCAATTGCAGACATCCCACTATTTTTCACGGATTTCGATATTATTTATAATTTCTCATTGCTTGTTTAACAAACTGACATCTGTTTGTGAAGCCACAATACTTTTTTTGTGAACTGTAGTAGAAAATTTAGGAATGGAGGTCGTCGTAGCTCAGGTCGCGTAAGAACTGCTCTATTCGCTTAAGGAACCACAATACTAGTGGCAATGGAACTAACTCCAGATATCGAGTGCGTGCGCTCTTATCTTTGTAGACCAGAAATGTCATGGGCTTTTCTTAATTTTGACATTCTACTATTCCGCAGGGAAGTCCAAAAACCAATGCTAAAACCTCTCGTCTCAATTCGGAATAAGTGCTCATCACAAATACATGTATTGGATCGGGCTTTTTGTAGACTCTCCAACAGCCTTTGGTACTTTCGACAATTCAAATTCTACAAATATTTGTTATTTTGATTTTCAGAAAATTTAATATTATTCTTAATTACGCTCATGTTCCTTATGCTTTATTATTGTCAGCTTTGTGCCCTATTTAATCTTTAATTTTTTGCACTACAAGTAATACATCATGACGTCGCTTATTTGTTCGTTTTCTGTTGATAAATGTTTGTATGTACTTGTAGTACGTTACATTATTGTTTTCTGAAACTAAATTAATATGCAAATGAATTAATTAAATGAAAACCAAAAATTAAAATAAATAAAAAAAATATTTTTATTATTTGTGATTATTGTTTATAGTTGTCTAATAAAAAGGAGGTCATACATTATCTTTTTTTTTTATGCCCTCTACATATCTGTTAAAATTTGTAACACCCATAAGGAAGAATGATACATGAATCTTAACTCTACAAGTCTTAGAGCTTCTCTTTGATGGGCACAGATAATAGGTATGTCACGACTGACTTGTCGTGTCTACATAATACATTGTAGCTGCTATAGGAACGATTGAATTTTAGAAGGATTATCACTCGTATCTGGTGGCCCATGACAATGGAGGAGTAATTTTTTTGTTTTAAGCGATAATGAAGGGTAGAAAGCTTCGCAAAGACGTTAAACCATCTACTTCCTCTTGATAGATTTTTGATAATATTTTAATTCAATATTTTCCTGCACTTTTTATTTGAAATAGAATAATTAAAGACAAATTATATATATGTATGCATGGAAGAGGAGGAGCGTTTCAAGTTTTTAATGTTGATTTTATTTGAATTTCTTTGTTGTTTTTTTCCTGCAGCAGCAGACGACGCAAAACTAGGAAAAGTCAACTACTAAAACGACTGCAACAATTGTCATTGTCTTGGCATTTGGAAACATTTTAATTGAAAAACTTTTTTGCCAAAGCCAAAAGGAGGGAGGAGTGACGGCGGGCGAGCATCAGGCAACAAATATGACTGTCAAATTGGCTAAGCTCTTTGGTTCGAGCACCAGCAACGGCAATAATAACGGCAGCAGCAGCAACAACAACAACAATAACGGCTCACAATTGCCGCCTCCTTTGCCACCGCCAAATGCCAATATGAAACAGAAATATTATGATCATCAGCCAGCGGCCATTTACGGTAATGCCTATGACGACGACGACGACGATGATGATGTTTTAAACGATTACGATGACAACATGTCCCTCTACTCGAGCAATATGGCCAATCCGGCATGCATGCAACGAGGCCATCTCTACAACAACTCTCAACGCCCACTTCTGGGCGAGCGCAAGCCCAATGCTGTGGTTCCTCAACTGCTGCCCAAAAAGAAGCTGCCTCCCATACCCACGCCCCCGTTGCACATGCAGCCACTAAATGTCACAGCGTCAGCAGCAATAGCAACATCAGCAGCAGCAGCAGCAGCAGCATCAGCAGCAGCAACTACCACCTCCAGGGAGGAGCGTTCCTATATTTCGCCCTATGTGCAGCAACAGAAACGGGATAGTGCCAAAGGTCTGCATGGCTTCAATGATTTCGATGCGCTCTCCCAGCAATACAATCAACATTTGCAGAGTCCTCACATTGGCTATCCCTATGGCAGTCCACCATCGCCGACAGCGCAGTCCAGCGATTTTGTGTTTGAGCCGCTTCAGCAGCAACATGCCCATGCCCATGCCCATGCGAATGCCCATGCCCGTCATCATTACTATGAACAGCAACAGCATCAGAATCAGAATCAGCATCAGCTGCATCATGGCAAGGCCGTGTCCACCTCCTCGACGGGTACATCAAAATCAAATTGCTCCTCCACATCAACATCGCCGGCAGCTGTGGCCAACGTACCGCCAGCAACATCATCAATAGCTCCCCTCTATGGCAATGTAGGTAGCTATCAGCAAGATGTATACTTGCCATCACATTACCTCGGCCATCCGTCACGTTTCGAGGATGACTTCTGCACACGCCGCAACATGGACTTTCAACAGCAACATCAACAGCAACAACAACAGCAACTGCCGTCCACTGGTCCCTTTATATTTGGCATCTCACATGAGCAACAGCAAACGGATTATGGATTGCAACAGCAACAGCAACTGCAACTGCAACAACAACAACATCAACAGCAGCACAATAATCTGAAACAGTTGCCACATACTGTGATAAACGCCACATCGCCTGTCAAGGACCACAATGGCTCACTGGTAAGTGCATTGACTTTCTGTTATGGGTGGGTGGTCCTACATACTACAACTATATTTCTGGACCTTTGCCTTTACTGCTTGGCTGGCCAGTTAGCTGGCTGGTCGCTTGGCTGCTCTGCTCTGCTCCGGTCTGCTCTGGTCCAGGCGCAAATTAGACGACGTTCGCTGCCTTTTTAGGGTAATTAGCGTTTGTTTCTTTTCCACATTCAAAAAGTGCCCGCGAACAGCATTTAACCAGCAACAACAACAACAACAGCTGCAAAAAACAGAGGTAATTTTTTTTTTGGTTTTATAAAAGGAGAAGAAAATAGTAACCAAAAGCAATGAGCAAATGGCATGAACAACAACTACAACAATCGGCGGAACAACAACAATAAGAGTAACAACAGTAACCACCACTGATCGTGGTCGTTCAAAGTGGAATTAAAAGTAAGGCTACCCAGATGGAATATTGCACATTTTGTTCGCTAAAGAATTTCAACAAAATTTCTAAAATTTAACATTTGTGAAAATGTTTATAAACCGGCTTATAACTATATCTATCCCAAATGTGGAGTAAATTATGGTTAAAAGCGTTAAAAAAAAGAGTGACTGATTTTGGGAGCTAAATCCATAGTTAAAAAACTATTTTCCTTCACCTATTTAATTTTCAAATAACAAATAATAGAATTGAACTCTATTAAATAAATACTATACTGTCCATAGAGCTATAAAAACTTGAAACTTGAAAATGCCCTTAAAAATTCATTGATCTTGCTATTCCATACATCCGCGCATTTTGCAGAAGTAATATTATTTATGAGTTTAGCTGTAATCTGGGGTATAGTTAGTAGAAAAAGTTAGCAAACAAATTTATTAGCTATACTACATATTTTATTTATTTATTTAATTCTCACTAAGAACTGTCAATTTGAAAACATGAAAACGTATCAAAATAATGTTAATTGCTATTCATTCAAATATGAAAAAGTTTAAAATTACAATAATTTTTGGAAAAAAAATACATATATATACTAGTGTATATAGAATTAGTTCGTCACTAGAGCTTCCACTGTACGATAAACCGCCACACAAAAATAAAAGAACAACAATACCAGCTACAGCAACAACGAAGGGGAAAGACGCCGGCAATGGAAGCCAGTTGCTGGTTGCACTTCGTGCGCGCCAGATAAAATTAATTAGTGCATTTTTAGCAATTATTTAATTTGAATTTTTAATGAGGCACCAACAGCTCACACACACAGTCACACACACACACACACACTGAAAAGCCCACACAGCCATGCGACTTTTTGCCAAGACAAAGTAAAGACATGCAAGACTAGACGAGGTATTTATGTATATAACTTTCCTTGCAATTAACCGATGTAAATCAAATTTAAGAATAAGATGGATGTCTATTATTCAGCTCATGCGGTTGACATAATTGGATTTTCTGTAGGGATTATTGAGAGATGTGCCTCAGGAAGCCAGCGTTCTTCCAGACCGACAAATCTAGAGCGATTTCTTTCGATATGCCTTTCAGTGACATATTCATAGTATATTCTTCATGGTGGCGAATCTGCTTTCTTCAGTATTTGACGTACAAAATCCAACTTGCTTTATCTCCGTGTAGGTAATTCTAATTTGGGGAATGTTTGTTTCATTAGAAAAGTTATCATCTGTTGTGCAAGTGAAATTTTAGTTTCAGGAAGATTTTCTTTAAATAAATAATAGAGGAATTTTTTAAATGTGTTATTTAAACTATTTATTTCGAATTCTTTTAGATTCAAAATTTAAAAAAATGGTATATACAAGCAGACGTACATATTATAAGTATATTTCCTTCGAAAACATTTAAAGCGTTCTTTGATGATGGACACGATATTTTTTTAATGCTATGCAATTAAATAAAACCTATTACATACTCGTACGTAAATAAGTTCAAAAATAATGAAATCAATTAAATCAAAAGTTCAGGAGTTGCAGGAATCTGGATGTCAAATTTTGAGACTGAAGCTGCTGGTTTTTTCAATATATACCATATACTTATAGTATATATTCGATTTTTAAACACGAAAATAACCTTGGAGTACCTGCAGACCATGGTCTATACTTTTTGACATCCTGGCGTTCCGATGGACGGACCCGCCTCAAACGAGCTCTGCCATTTCTTCTTCTTTCTTGATTTTATAAAATCCTTCGGGTACAGGGTATACAAATGTATTTTTCACGTGCACATTGATAATCGTATTATTATGGGACCACTCAGAATCAAAAATGAAAAGAATATAAGTACAGTGAAAACTCTCTTGGCCGGACATTCACTCGCTTTAAATACTCAGTAAACCGAACGCATTTTCTAGAAAATTGTTCGGCTAAGAGGAGTGTCCGGCTAAAAGAAGAGCCACCAAGTGTGTTTGGTTATAGAACTGTTTGCAACTAGTAAAGAGTATACTTTTGCAGATCGAATTACTTGGCAGATCCCACAAAGTACCCATACTATGTATGTTCCATCCATATCACAAGACGAGTTTAAATGGCCATGTCCTTTATTTTTTTGGCTGTCCTCCCATTTTAAATCCACAATCAGTTCTTCGGTGGTCGCTTTCCTCGCACATTCCAATCTAATTTTCAAAGTTTTCGCCGAATGTTGGTCGTTCTTTTCCTCTTCCTCTTCCTCTTCGACTTTCACTTCCACATTCTAAGCCAAAGTCGTTGGGCATTGTCCACCTGCGAATAAAAGGTTGGCGAAGTTTGAAGAACAACAACAAGTATGTGGCAGGGCAGCCAATGTTGTGGCACCAATTAACCAACTTACTTGTAAGTGCAAGTACAAATTCTTTTTCAATGCTCGCATGTAAGTACTATACACTGCAACAATGGCGGTTGCATAGTGGCACGTTCAAACGGCGGTGGAATGTGGGGCGAAACGAATTTGTTCCGCTTGCTTTTATGTTGTACTTGAACTCTGGCGACAGCCACGGTGTCGGATACTTCGAGAGGGTGGACCCAGAACACTTCATTAGCGTAATTTGCATTTTTACTGCCACCAGCCTCCCTATCTTGTTCACTCACCCACCCCACCCCACCCCACCTCATCCGTCACTCCTCACTCCTCGTCTTCTGAAGCTGCAGCCATGAAAGGCCTTGGCCCTTGCACTTGGACTCATGAGATTTCATGCTTCACCCTGACGCTTTAGCGTTTTGCCAGCGATTTGCCCGACTTCTCATTTATTAATTGCATTATAATTTAAGGCAGTGTTTCCTTTTTTATACGAGTACATCCTTCTACTTTTTATCTCTTATTGCTGTTGCTGTTTGGCGCTTTTAGATTGCCTTGCACTCAAGCAACGTAAAAATGTCTTGCATTGTGCACAACATTTTAATTTGCTTGGCATTAATGGATGACGAGCAGAAGAAAGGAATTTGCCATCATCAAGTCGCTGGTGCTGAAATGAAAAGCTCGTCCAGCTCTGCTCTTTGTTGCTCCTGCTTTTGATGTTGATGTTGCTGTTGCTCTCTGACAGGCTTTGTATTTGTTTGTTTGACTTGACTTGGCTTGGCTCCAAGAGCTACCTTGACTGGGGCCCGCAGGTGAACTGCTCTGCTGTTGTGGCTAGCTGCCCATTATCGAAATAGACAGACATGCATTGAAATTGCTGGCTGTCAAGGCCCATGCCGCTGTTTCAATTGAAAGCAGCACTACGGTGGACCAGAAGTCAATTTTCAGAGCCAATAAGTCCGAGATATTCGGAGGTTTCAGGTCTAAATAGCGCTCTTGTTTAATAGATTTCGTATAAATTGTTTCGAGTAATGCTTAGAAAGCTGCTACGAGCGTGGAAGCATGGAGTGCATCGTAAGATCGCATTGTTTTTAATCCTGAGGTGATGGACTGCCGCTTTGTGGACTCTCAATTTAGAAAATATGTGAGTTTGCTTATCAATAACTCGAGAAGAGAAAAATTGCAAAATTATGTTAAATATGTCTAAAGCTTGGCTTGATTCCCTTTTCATCAAAGACATATTGTACTAGGTTTTGTAAGCCTAAGAGATAAAAAAAAATCGCCATAAACATTATAAACGTTTTAGTTATAGACAATACTTGTATCATACCGATGATTAATGCTACATAAAGCAAGCTAAGGAGGTTACAATTCCCACATCCCAGTGTTGTCAAGGTAAAAAATAAACATAAAGCAATGGTGATGCATTATACACTAAAAAAAACACAAAAAACAAATTAATATTACACGTAGATTTGAATATTTTTGCCATCGATATTTCACTACATTGTGCTTTTAGTAGAAATAAAGCCTGACACTTCAATTTCAAGTTTAATATTAAATATAATATTAAATATTATTAATATTTATTAATATTCCAATTAAATTCAAAATGTGACGATATTTAATCACAAGCGATGACGTGGACGTGGCAACAACATTGATTAGGCTAAAAGTTTATTTTTAACAAGTATTAAATATTTTTCGCACTTTATTGTCTTGTCTACTCTTGTAACAACAATAGTGTAATTGTTTTTAATCAAGCTATTTTTTAGGTTTTCAAGTTAATTCAATTATTATTATCACTATTCGGTCACCTAATTTGTAGTGTTAGTAATTACTGGGTCTTCCTACTGTTACGCACCTTAACTTCATTCATTCAGAACACTTTTATCAGAATGTAATTTTCAAATCTTGTCTCTGTTATAAATATTGACGTTATCCGCTGCTTATTAAAGCTTGTAATCAATAATAATATTTAAATTGAGGAATAGCTGATTATATACATATACTTGACACATTCTTAACGACCACGTGTCCCTTTGTATTTAAAATATTAACACTTGTAAATATGAATTAATTTAATAAATTAATAAATATTAAAATTTAATATATTTCTAGTCTATTTAAATCAACTACAAAAACTTCAAATCAATGTTAAGAAAAATATTAAAATTTACTAAAATGTAACTATTTGTTTTTTGAAGTGGGTGCATATTTAAATTAAATATGGCTC